TACCTGACATTGGCGGCGTAGAACAATGCAAGGATGTGCCAACACATTTTCTGTAAAGAGACTATATAAAAATAATTTATATATATGTATGTCTACATAGAGACAAATTAAATTTACAACATGTATCTTTCTGAAATTATTCTTGCCTGAAGAATCATGCATTACTTTGTTTTCCATTCTTAAAAAAATTAAACAGATCTTTAAAAATGTCTAGAAATGTCTGCAAATGATTCTACCCATAATAAAATTCAATATGAAATGAATGAAAACCAGATCTGCATACTAGTAAATAAGGGAAACAATACATAATACATAATAGTAATGTCTGTAGTGTAAGATGAAACTAGATCTCTGTTTGTTTAATGTGGGAAATGACACATCAGTTAAATGGCATTTAATGCTGCAAATTATCTCGTTCAGAAAATATCCTATGAACAACATTCCTATCAGCAGAGCCATTTGATCTTCATGAACCCCATTCTAAAAATGTTGGTTTTGATGCACTTCAACTATAAGGTTTAAGTATAAATTTAAGTATAAATCTTAAATTATAAGATTCTTAATGACCATGTTAATTGACTAACATTTATGTATCAAATTTCTGATTTGAGAATGTGCCCCACAAAACAATTACAGCTGTGGGTTTCAGGTCTCAGAGTGACATATAAATACATGTACACACATATTTATATGTAATAATAGTCTATCAAATGAATCAAAGTTTTAAGTATAAATATTGAAGCAAAAAACAACTCCAGCAGAATGGAAAACACAGATTTTATTTATATTGACATTAACACCCTCGGGTTCAATAATGCAAATCAGGTATTTTTCTTGGTTAAAATGTTTAAAATGATAGTGATCATTATGGCATGAAATGTAAGCTTTGTGCAATTCCAATATTTTTGAAAATGCTTTTCACTAAGGATCACAATAATCAAGACTAAAGGCTTTTCTTAAAATGATCGTTAGATATTAAAAAAAAAAAAAAGTAATGCTATCACCAAACGCTGATTATGAACACAATCTAGATGCTATGCGGCTAAATATCTTATAAGCATTAGAATATTTAGAGAGAAGCCTCCATGCACAATTACTTTTTTGATGGGAGAGAGACAGATTACATTTCATTTTATTCTTTGGATAGACCCATGAAAAGAATGAAAACCAGATCTGCAAACAGGTAAGTAAGGGAAACAATACATAATATTAATATCTACAGTATAAAATTAAACTAGATCTCTATATGTTTGATGTGGGAAATGCCATGTCAATTACATGGCATCATTAAATGCCATGTAATTTTTATTTCTTTCAGAAAATGTCCTGTGAACAAAGTTCCTGTCAGCAGAGTCATTTGATCTTCATGAACCCCATTCTAAATTACTTTTTTTGATGGGAGAGAGATAAGATTACACTTCATTTTATTCTTTGGACAGACCCATGAAAACAATTACAATACTCATTACAAAATTACTTTGTGTTTATAAAATTGGATGACTAGTCTATCCTTACTGGAAAAACTATCAAATTATATGTTTTAAATAATGATCATGTTTTTTTTTCTGCAAAATATTATTCAAAATTTAAGCTGCTGCTTCAAAGAAACAACCTAAAGGAAGCAATAACAATCATTTAATATTATAAATTAAAGAAAAACTCTAAATTAAATAAATAAAAGCTTTAAACGTCTTTAGATAAAACATTACCTTGCAAGTCCAATACCAAATCCAGCAAATCTATTCAGCTGTTCTAAAGTAAAAAAAAAAAAAAAAAAAGAAATAAAAAAATAAGATTACTGATAACCAATATTTTAGTCTAAAAACAATTTTTAAAAATTTATTTTATTAACCTGCTGTTCATTTAAACCTCAAAGTCAAATTCTGATGGGGCCAGGGAAATAATTTAAATGAATGAAGGACTCTGCTGGGGTTTGTGGCAAATTGCAAGGTGTACAGCCTTTAAAGCACAATTACTCTTTAACTCCAATTCATTGTTGCCACATGAGAGTGTGGGCCCAGGGTTTTGAAGCTGTAATTTTTTCAAAAAAAGATATTCTCATTTTATAGAAAAGCTTCCAATTTTGAAGTCCTGGACAACTATTTCAGAAACTGTTAAAACACTGTCTGGGCCTAATGAAACAAATATGCAGACAGAACCTAAGGGCTAGCAGTTTTCAGCTTCTGATTCCAATCAAATAAAAAATTTTCTATGATTGGCCGCAGCTGATATTTTACCTACGCCTTTACCTCCTATGCTGTAAAAACTAGTTATTCACTGTTACTGATGGAGAGCACTTTATTAAACCAATAACTGCAAGTAAAGCACCTCTAAATTATTAATTTGAAAGGGTACTTAGGGATAACCAAAATCGGTAAATACAGTTCTCTTCTTCCCCATCTCTTCAAGTTTTAAATAGTTTGAGGCTAGCTGTTTAATTAATCAGAGTAGGTACCGGATATGTATATGCTACTACAGATGGTATGTCTGTTGTGTTACTGGAAAAGTTAACAGCTGGAAACATTCCCATGCATATGTCAGAAGAGAAAAGCCTTTCTTCTTGACTAAACTCAAAGTCATATTGGTGAACTGTTACAACCCCAGGGAACTAGACATTAAATTCTAACTATAATACAATATTCACAAATTACAATTCTTTCTTCTCTTTCAAATGAAGCAATTGCCCTCACTATTCCCCTTCAATCAGAACAAGGCCACCTAAGCATGTTCCTGGGAAACTACGCGGTTCACCCTAGAAAAATGTACAAGCTAAATAGAAAGCTTCTTTTACCTACCTAAGGCACTTTTACCTTAGATTTTACCCTTTTGTTTTGTTTTGAGACGGAGTCTCGCTCTGTCGCCCAGGCTGGAATGCAGTGGTGGGATCTCAGCTCACTGCAAGCTCCGCCTCCTGGGTTCAGGCCATTCTCCTGCCGCAGCCTCCCGAGTAGCTGGGACTACAGACGCCCGCCACCACATCTGGCTAATTTATGGTTTCACCACGTTAGCCAGGATGGTCTTGATCTCCTGACCTCGGGATCCGCCCTCCTCGGCCTCCCAAAGTGCTGGGATTACAGGTGTGAGCCACCGCGCCCAACCTTACTCTTTTTATATGTATAGATCATCCCCAAACAGTAACAGAAAATGCTACTAACATTTTCTGGAAGGTGTTAGGAAGATTTACTCTTGTTTACTGTGTAAATCTCTTTGGTGTCTAAGTTTGTTGCAAAATTAACATTCACACACTTGTTACGGCTGCAAAATTAACCCCTGGTTGTGTCAAGGAACTCTTCCTCATTGTAACCATCAAAGCATAACTTATGAAAAGATAAAAACATAAACTTTACTGCCTAAGAAGATAACTGTGTAGCAACGGCATATGCATTTTTGAATTATTTGATTTATAACTTGTAAAACCTTTCCAGTATTCTTCTGGACTAGTACTGGGACTAGTACGACACAACGGGAAAAAAGCAAAAAAAAAAAAAAACAGCGAAGAGTCAAAAAGCTAATTGTATGACAATTAGCTAGGTAAGTCATCTATCCTTCTTCACATCCTCATTCACTCATTAGGCATTCGTTAAAGTCTATTCTTCCTAGTTGAATAAATATTATTTTATTTCCAAGTCAAAGTCGAGGAAATGAGAATAAAGCCGATACCTACAATAAATTTAATATTAAATAATACCATTAAAATTATTCTAACAATTGCAGGAGAATAGAAAGAGGTAGCTATTATTCTTTATGAATAAAAAAGGATGTTGAAAATATGTACATTATGCAGTGTTGCAGCTTTTCTGATATCCCATAGAGAATAATTATGTCATGATTCCAAAGTCCTATCTTGAAATTGTATCGGTGTTTCTAACTTTTATATGTAGTTTTTAGGTCAGAAGAAAGAAAGCAGAAGGGAAAATTATAGGAAGGAAACTTTCTAGACTGGGGATCTGAAAAGCAGATAAAACTCCTGTGTTTAAAAAGGAAAAGGAAGGAAACTTTTTTTTTTTTTTTTTTTTTTTTAGCCTATGTATCCCATACTGGATTCTTCTACACATCTTAAAGATGAGAAAACTGAGGGCTCACAGAGGTTAAGTTGTTCAGATTACGAGTGGCACAATCAAGTCTGAACCCAAATTTGCTTATGCTGAAAGGCTTCTCTCTTCAGAACACAAAACTACGAGTAAACACATTCATTCATTAATTAAATCGAGAAAATACAGCTGCCAAAGTTAATCAGGTAACAGTAAATAATCCAAACTCCTTTTTAACTCTGGCCATCAGGTGGGACACCAAAACCTCTAAAAATTCCTACTATGTACCCCATAGCTAAGGCAGATGTCTTTTTTGGAATTGATCCAGGAGAATTCGTTTGCGTGAGGAAGAGGGAGAAGGCCGGCTTCAGGGGCAGAGGACGAAGGAGGGCAAAGGGTGTGGCGCGCGATAGGATGAGAAGGAGCAGGAGGCGGGACCCTCTGCGCCGCTTCCGGGGTCTGCAGGCCTCAAGCCGCCGCCCCACTAACCCACCATCCCTGCGTCGGTCCCCATGCTTCTCACCACTGCTCTGCCCCTGCACACCGCCGCCGCCGCCAGTGGAAAAGGGTTCTTCCGGGGGGCCTTCGTACGGGGTGGAGGTGGTGGGCACGCCGTAGGGGGGGCTCTTCTCGCCCCAGTGCAGGTTGCGGCTGCCGGGGATGTCTGGGGGAGTCGTCACCCAGTGGCCCAGGTCAGCCCCGGTGCTGAAGGACCTTGCAGGGAAAGCGCCGCCAAAGCCCTGCTCGTCCCGGGCACCGCCCCGGTAGCCCAAGCCATCAAATCCGTCCGGGCGCCGCGGATGCATTGCAGCAGGGGCAGGATGACGCGAGCCCGCCCGGAGCCCACCACCACCCGGGCCACCGCGACCTAAGACCACACAGCTTCCCCTAGGCAGCCGCCGCGTCTGGGGGATATTCTGACAACCGGAAGTCACGTTAGAAACCCGGAAGTCTTGGGAGCACGTGATTATAGCCTCTTCCGGCAACCATTAGTGGGCACGGTTGCTAGGGAGACACGGCGGTAACCTATAACTTAAAACTTTGTTGTCATTAGGGAATAGGTGGGAATATGGTTGTGAGATTAATGAAACATGGTACCAAAGAGATTCCAGAAAGAGAATTGGTGTAGGAATAGGGCCTACATGGGAGGAGGTCAAAGATGCTGCTTGGAGGGAGCCGATAACCCGCGAGTGGAGCTTACCCGGTGAGATCTTGCCCAGAAATACCCCATGTCACAGCTGCGCCCCAGATCTCAGTGTATTCTCACGGGGCTGGTGCCTCACCTGCTCCAAGGAAGCTAGTAAAGGTTGGAGTTGTGGAGGGTTAGTAACCTTCTACCTAGCTTTGTCTCCCGCACTTGCGGTTTTGGATAAAATCTATTGAGAGATATGGTACCGCCCAGTGAGCGCGAAAGTGCTATGGACCACCAGAGCAAGCATTTTAAAAGTTCAAGTGAACGTCGGGGGAGAAAGAAACCCACGTACACGAATACTGCCCTCGTGGAGTGAGGAATTACGGGTTTTACTTTTCTAAGGCTGTAAAGAAACTAGTTTTCTGTCGTATTTTTCCCGATGTATCTAAATCACTCAGGGTATTGAAATCCCAGTTGTATCTTTCAAAATCGGGACCTCTAATTAAATAACTGAGAAGAATTCTGTAGAGGGTCCCCTACTACCTGTTTTCATTAGGTCCACGGGCTCTTGGGGCAGGCTCCCTCCTCAGATCTGAGGAAGCCTTCCATGGGTTCATCCTATGTTCCTTCAACTCGATGGACGCCCAGGATTCCTAGAGCTTTTCCAAGAGAACTCTGACGTGCTGTTCTCGACCTTCCAGATGCGAACCTTGATTGAAAGTGATAATCAGCTTTGTTTTGAGCGAACTGACATTTTTGTTAACAGTTTTATCACTACTTTTTTTTTTGTGGGTATGTAATAGGTGTATATATTTATGGGTTACATGAGATATTTTGATACAGCATGCAATGTGTAATAACATTTGGGTAAATGGGATGTCCATCACCTGAAACATTTATCCTTTCTGTTGCAAACATTCCAATTATACTCTTCTTAGCTATTTAAAAATGTTAATTGTACATTTTTAAATAACTAAGAAGAGTGTAATTGGATTGTTTGTACAATTAACATTTTTAAATAACGAATTGACATTCTTAAATTTGATTGCGATGCAGCATGGACAAAGGTGTTGAGTCTCTTGACAGTACTCAAAGGTGTTTAGTATTACTGGTGTACTAATACCAAATTACTGGATAGTTAATATCAAACATAAAAAATATTTATCTATTCTTTTGGAATGATTGGCTCAAGGATGGTATTGTTTCAGGTCCTAAGCTATTTTTTTTTTTAAGGAGAAAGGTAAGAAGGTCTAATTATGTCTGTACTTTTAATATAAAAACAGTGGCATCTCAGAATTTCACATCCACATGAGTGGAGAAAGGATGAATTATTGAACAGACAGCAGCTGGGTAGCCAGTTGAGGGGGAAAGCATGGCAATAAGAGCCTTACCTCACAGCTTACCCTGAAAGTAAAGCTGCAATATACTGTATTTTTCTTAAATTTTTAAAAATTAAATACTGGAAGAAAATAATATAGGCAAATGCCTTTTTTTTTGAGACAGAGTCTTGCTCTGTGGCCCAGGCTGAAGTGCAGTGGTGTGATCTCGGCTCACTGCAGGTTACACCTCCTGGGTTCACGCCATTCTCCTGCCTCAGCCTCCCGAGTAGCTGGGACTACAGGCGCCTGCCACCACGCCCGGCTAATTTTTTTTTTTTTTTTTTTTTTTTTTAGTAGAGACGGGGTTTCACCGTGTTAGCCAGGATGGTCTCGATCTCCTGACCTCATGGTCATGGTCTGCCCGCCTTGGCCTCCCAAAGTGCTGGGATTACAGGTGTGAGCCGCTGCGCCTGGCGAGGTGGATGCCTTTTAAACAGTGAGTTGGAAAGTTTTCTAAGAGTACAGCAAAGTCAAAAGCCGTGTAAGAAATCAGTAAAAGACTATAATCAATATGACTGTATAAAATTTAAATTTCTGTGTAGTAAATTTTAAAATATATAGTAATTACAATTGAAAGGCAAATCACAAACTAAGAAAAATGACATTTTAACAGGGTTTAAACAATGGATTAGTATCTTTAATGTACAAAGAGTTCATACCAATGAATAAAGTCAAATCAGAAATATAAGCAAAGGACATGTAGAGGCAATTCATGCAAAAAAAAAAAAAAGGAAATGTAAATAGATAATATCATATAAAAATGTCCTTTACTAATCGAAAAAAAAGTAAATCTTAATAACAGTTGTCTTTCACATATTAAAATGTTTAAAAGGGAAAAATCTTTCCAGGTTAGAAGAAAGTATCTTTCATTAATTTCTGAAGTGATATAAAACATAACTTTCTGATGGACAGCAGATTGGCACTATGTATCAAAAAGTGTAAAAATAACCATATTTTTTGACTCCAAAATCTTAGAAAACAAATATAGGGTTTTTTTAACATGTTTCTGGCATGGATAACATACATATGTTTATGGCATGATTGCTCATAATAGGAAAAAATAAGCAGGAATGCAAATATCAAATAATTATTATTGATTAATAATTTATTATTAAAAGTATATATCCATAGAGTTGTTTAACCAAAATATATTTATTAAGCACCTATCTCGTGTCAGATACTATTTTAAGCAATGAGGATAGAGTGATAAATAAGCCAGAAAAAGTGCTTGCATTGTTAGAACTGACATTCTAGTTTAGGGAGACAAATAACAGAAAAATACATCCTGTCAAATATAGTGCCATGTCAAATAATGACATAATTATATTAAAAAAGCTTAAGTGAGCAATAAAGAAACCTTTTTTAGAATAAGGAAGTCCTCTTTGAAGAAGTGACCTTTGAGCAGAGAACTGAATGAAGTGAGGGAGTGAGCCATCTGTGAATATGTGGGAGAAGTTTTCCAGGCAGAGCTGAGCAGGAGAAAGGCCCTGATAGCAAACTAGGTAGCCAGTGAGAAAGGGTGAAAGTGATAGGAAATGAGAGCTGAAAGGAACCTAGGTGCCAGATCTTGCAAAGCCTTGCCGGTGGTGAACAAAATTTAGGTTTTTTGAGGGTAGAGGAGTAATGTGACTATGTTGATATTTTATAGGAATCCACCTGGCTTCTGTATGGGGAAGAGTAAAGGTTTCCACCTACTGAAGGCAAGCAGCTGAGGCAAAAGATAGTAATAATTTCATCTAGAATGATAGTGTAATGGAGATGAGAAGAGTTTAGAGTGAAGACGTTTATAGGTTACATTAGAGATGAATATTAAATGACATGAAAATATGTTCAATTTAAAACATGTACAGTATGATCTTCCTTTTAAAAATATTAACAGATACACAATAGAAGAGTATGCTAAAATGATAGTATTATATCTGAGCATGGACTTGCATAGTTTCACTTTTTATTTAATTGCTCTAAAAAACTTAGCTTTTTTTCCTAAGAAGAAAAATTATTTTAGAAAAAAAGTAATAGAGCAAGTTTAGTTATGGGCAGACAGCAATAAAGATCTTTCTATATTACTAAATCTGTTCATATCATTTAATCAGTAGTCTCTAGAGCACTATGAAGCTCTATCATCCTATATTTCTCCAAAATATTTCTGAAATAATTATGCTGAAATCGTCCAGAGTTTATTGCTTCAAACTAGTTTGAGAAACTCATAACACAGGAATTAAAACATGCATTTATAAAGTGGCCAATGCATTTTATGAAAACAACAGAACGTTTGTGTTAGTTTCTATTGTGGCACAATAAATTGCCCCCATAACAAATTGAGCAGCTTAAAACAACATTTAATATCTCATAGTTTCTGTAATTAAAAAATTTCAGAGTGGCTTCACTGGATAGTTCTGTCTTAGGTTTTCCATGAGGTTCTAGTTAAGACTTCTACTTGGGATGCAGTCATTTTAGACTTGACTGGGTTTGATTAGGGCTGGAGGATCCCCTTCTAAGGTCTCTTACTCAGACAGCTGTAGAAAGAATGTCTTTATTTCTTGCTGATTGCTGTTAATGAGGTTTCAATTCCTTGCCACATGAAGTTCATAGAACATCTTGAGTGTCCTTATGATGTAACAACTGGGAGACAGCAAGGAGGAAGCACAATGTCGTTTATGAGCTAATTACACCTCATCACTTCTGCCATGTTCTATTTTTTGGAAGAGGGTCACTAAGTCCAACCCTACACTAAAAGGGGAAGAGGATTTGACTCTATCTTTTGAAGGATTGGCAAACAATAGCATTTATATCATTAAAATGACTAAAATATTAAATCACTATATAACAATTAATGGGTAGAGGATATTATTAGGTGTCAAAACTAATAATAAGGACATTTTTAGCCCAAATATTGACAGAATAATACAGTTTTTTACTTTTTTCCATGGTAAATAGATATAAAGGATTAATTTTCCTTGAAAATAATATGATAGAAATACATCTAACCCCCCAAAGAGCTTAATACATATTTTCAAAAGTCCAGTCATTATTATTGTTGAGTTAAAATACAAATGAAAACTAGCAGATTGTTTCAACAGTTTTCAAGAGTTGGCACAGAATGCTATGGTCCTACGAAACAAAAGTGCCTGTACAGAGCAAGCAAGTCATTCATTTATATTAACATTGTGCTCGAAAATTCTGATGCTAAATAAATTCAGCTCACAGGATAAAATAAAAATTACTTATATTTTTTATTCAATAATTCACTCAGCAACATATATTAAGCATATACTATGTGTAAACCACTGTATTGGGTACTGTGATGCAACTATACACTATTTTATTTATATCTTTTTTAGAGACAGGGCATCACTGTGTTCCCAAGGCTGGTCTTGAACTCCTGGGCTCAAGCAATCTGCCCACCTCAGCCTCCCAAGGTGCTAGGATTACAGGAGTGAACCACTGAGCCTTGCCTGGTAAGTATTTTAAAAGGTGAAATTTAGTAATATTTTAAATATTTTACGTGTAAAATAACTTGAAATAAGCAATTTAAAAAATATCTTTCCAACAATAGAGGTGTTTTTGTTTTGTTTTGTTTTGTTTTTGTAAAATGATATAATATAACAATCCACTGTGGTGCATTTGATCCTGATTACGTTGCTAGGGAAGTTAGGCAAAGCACATTTAACATCTAAACACTTAATGGGACACACACAGTAAATGGAAGCAACTGAGAATATTTTAAATTGTGAATTGAGTATAAATTTTCTAAATTGCTGAGTTTATTCTTTTTCTACTTGATAGGCTATGCCATTTATGTTCAGAAGATGGTGATGCCCAAATTATTGGACTCAATTTTTCGTCCCTCTATCATAGTATTATACTGTATGTCCATACCCTTGTCATGGCCTCATGATGGGCAGAGTGGACTTTCCTGCCCTTTGTTTGGGGAGTTGGTAGAGTGATATCCTTGGGCAAAAAGTGTTAGCAGGTGTGACCTGAACAGAGGCTTTGCTCAGTTGGCTTGCCCTCTTGGGCTTCTGCCATAACCATGAGAAGCACCTCCTGAATAACCACTGCCCCTTCACTCTGGGCTCCCGAAGGAGATATTTGGAGCAGACCCAACCCAGCTGGAAGTCTGGGGACAATCCCAGGTGAACCCAGCCAACATCACCAAAATCCAGCCAACCTTCATGCAGAGGAGTGAATGAGAAAAATAAATACTTGTATTTTAAACCACTAAAATTATTTTGGCGATAGGTGACCAACATGATGCTTTTGCAGAACTTTAATTGAATTTTATTTCTAAAATGTCCACTATAGGATTAAATACTATCATCACAAACATGTCAAATAACTGTGTAAGAGAAATTTTATCTTTTAGTAAGTTTAAAAATGCTGTGAAAATTAACCCATTGGTACAAGAAATAATTTGAGTAAATGCAATATAAATTTCTTAAAATCTTGCTTTATCTTCTTTAACCTCTAGTAGATTTCTATAAGTTGAATGACCATTGTAATATCATTTGACTTTTTAAAAAAGTTTATTTTAGGTTCAAGGGTACATGTGCAGGTTTATTATGTAGCTAAATTTATGTCATAGGGGTTTGTTGTACAGGTTATTTTATCACCCAGGTACTAAGCCTAGTACCCAATAAGTTTTTTTTTTTTTTTTTTCTGATCCTCTCCTCCCACCCTTCACCCTCAAGTAGGCCTTAATGTCTGTTGTTCCCCTCTTTGTGTCTCTGTGTTCTCATCATTTAACTTCCACTTTTAAGAGAGAACATGTGGTATTTAGTTTTCTGTTCCTGCATTAGTTTGCTAAGGATAATGGCCTCCAGCTCCATCCATGTTCCTGCAAAGGACATGATCTTGTTCTTTTTTATGGCTGCATAGTACTCCAAGGTGTACATGTACCATATTTATGGTCATTGATGGGCATTTAGGTTGATTCCATGCCTTTGCTATTGTGAATAGTGCTGCAATGAACATACATGTGCATGTGTTTTTATTGCAGAATGATTTATATTCCTTTGGTTATATACCTAGTAATGGGATTTCTGGGTCAAATGGTAGTTCTGATTTTAGCTCTTTGAGGAACCACCACACTGCTGTCAACAATGGCTGAACTAATTTATGCTTCCACCCAACAGTGTATAAGAGTTTGTTCCCTTTTCACTGCAAACCTCACCAGCATCTGTTGTTATTATTATTATTATTTACTTGTTAATAATAGCCATTCTGACTGGCATGAGATGGTATCTCATTGTGGTTTTGATTTGCATTTCTCTGATGATCAGTGATGTTGAGTTTTTTTTCATATACATGTTGGCCACATGTATGTCTTCCTTTGAAAAGTTTCTGTTCATGTCCTTTGCCTATTATTCAATGAAATTGTTTGTTGTTTTCATATATATTTGTTTAAGTTCCTTATAGATACTGATATTAGACCTTTGTCAGGTACACAGTTTGCAAATATTTTCTCTCATTCTGTATGTTGTCTGTTTTCTCTGTTATTATTTTACCTTTGATTATCTTTCCTTTCTCTTTTTGACAGATAAAAATTTCAGATACTGTTCCATTTATTCCCAATAGCATTTAAAAATACTAATGAAAACTCTAAATATTTGGCAAAATGAAGAGAGGTATCTGATATGGTTTAGTTGTGTCCCCACCCAAATCTCAACTTGAATTGTATCTCCCAGAGTTCACACATGTTGTGAGAGGGACCCAGGGGGAGGTAACTGAATCATGGGGGCTGGTGGTTCCCATGCTATTCTCCTGATAGTGAATAAGTCTCAAAAAATCTGATGGGTTTATCAGGGGTTTCTGCTTTTTCTTCTGCCTCATTTTTCTCTTGGCACTGTCATGTAAGAAGTGCCTTTCACCTCCTGCCATGATTCTGAGGCCTCCCCAGCCATGTGGAACTGTAAGTCCAATTAAACCACTTTTTGTTCCCAGTTTTGGGTATGTCTTTATCAGCAGCATGAAAATGAGCTAATACAGTAAATTGGTACTAACAGAGTAGGACGTTGCTGAAAAGATACCCAAAAATGTGGAAGCGACTTTGGAACTGGGTAATAGGCAGAAGATGGAATAGTTTGGAGGGCTCAGAAGAAGACAGGAAAACATGGGAAAGTTTGGAACTTCTTAGAGACTTGTCAATGGCTTTGACAAAATGTTGATAGTGATATGAACAATAAGGTCCACGCTGAGGTGGTCTCAGATGAAGATGAGGAACTTGTTGGGAACTGGGGCAAAGATGACTCTTGTTATGTTTCAGGAAAGAGACTAGTGGCATTTTACCTTTGCCCTAGAGATGTGTGGAACTTTGAACTTGAGAGAGATGATTTAGGGTATCTAGTGGAAGAAATTTCTAGGCAGCAAGGCATTCAAAAGGTGACTTGGGTGTTGTTAAAAGCATTCAATTTTAAAAGGGAAACAGAGCATAAAAGTTCACAAAATTTGCAGCCTGATGATGCAGTAGAAAAGAAAAACCCATTTTTTTTTGAGGAGAAATTCAAGCTGGCCACAGAAATTTGCACAAGAAGCAAGGAGCTTAATGTTAATCCCCAAGACCATAGGGAAAATGTCTGCAGGCCATGTTGGAGACTTTCACGGATCTCCTCCCATCACAGGCCTAGAGGCCCAGGAGGAAAAACTGGTTTTATGGACTGGCCCCAGGGTCCCCATGCTGTGTGCAGCCTAGTGACTTGGTGTCCTTGTCCCACCTGTTCCAGCCGTGGCTGAAAGGGGCCAATGTAGAGCTTGGGCTGTGTCTTCAGAGGGTAGAAGCCCTAAGTCTTAGCACTTCCATGTGGTATTGAGCTTGCAGGTGTACAGAACTCAAGAATTGAGGTTTGGCAACCTCTGCCTAGATTTCAGAAGATGTATGGAAACACCCGGGTGCCCAGGCTAAAGTTTGCTGCAGGGGTGGGGCCCTCATGGAGAACCCCTGCTAGGGCAGTGTGGAAGGGAAAGGTGGGGCAAGAGCCCTACTGGGATACTGACTATTGGAGCTATGAGAATAGGGCCACCATCCTCCAGACCCTAGAATGGTAGGTCCACCAACAGCTTGCACTGTGCACCTGGAATAGCTGCAGACATTCAATGCCAGCCCATGAAAGCAGCCAGGAGGGAGGCTGTAACCTGCACAGTCACAGGTGTGGAGCTGCCGGAGACCATGACCTGGAAGTGAGACCTGGAATCAAAGGAGATCATTCTGTAGCTTTAAAATTTGACTGCCCCACTGGATTTCAGACTTGCATGGGCCCTGTAACCCCTTTGTTTTGGCCAATTTCTCCCATTTGGAACAGCTGTATTTACCCAATACCTGAACCCCCTTTGTATCTAGGAAGTAACTAGCTTGCTTTTGATTTTACAGGCTTATAGGCATAAGGGACTTGTCTTGTCTCAGATGAGACTTTGGACTGTGGACTTTTCAGTTAATGCTGAAATGAGTTAAGATTTTGGGGTACTGTTGGGAAGGCATGATTGGTTTTTAAATGTGAGGACATGAGATTTGGAGGGGCCAGGGGCAGAATGATCTGGTTTGGCTGTGTCTCCACCCAAATCTCAACTTAAATTTTATCTCCCAGAATTCCCATGTGTTGTGGGAGGGACCCGGGGGAGGTAATTGAATCATGGAGGCCGGTCTTTCTGGTGCTATTCTCATGATGGTGAGTAAGTCTCACAAGATCTTTATCAGGGGTTTCCACTTTTGCTTCCTCCTCATTTTTCTCTTGCTCCCACCATGTAAGAAGTGCTTTTCACCTCCCACCATGATTCTGAGGCCTCCCCAGCCATGTGGAACTGTAAGTCTAATTAAACCTCATTTTGTTCCCAGTTTTGAGTATGTATTAGCAGCATGAAAACAAACTAATATGGTATCGAATAGAAATTATTTACAATTAAGTTATACACTACATGGCAAACCTAAATGATATCACATAAAATCAAAAATAGTAAGAAATTGTCATCTAGAAAGTTGTTAAATTACAAAATCAATATTTAATGCAACAGTTCAAACTGATAAATATTTTTTCATGGCTGTAGTTTTTTCCTATGATTCACTTTTGATGTCAGATTGTTTTCCCTGGAAAATCAATTCTAATCTAGGAAGGTAATTGCAGTATTATGGACTAATTTGAATCATGGCAGTGAAGATGCTAAGAGCCTTGATTCTAAGCAACTGAAGGACTGAAGCTTAAGGTTTGAGAAATATGATTGAAGGAAATATAATGCATATTTTAAATTGCTTAACTTACTAATAGTTTCATCTCTTTCCTGACTTTTTAATGAGTACTCACTAAGTAGATTTCTCTAGGTAAAATTTTGATAAGTGCTATATAAGAGTACTCAGAATGCTAGGGAAACATTGAAGGATGACTTCTAAGTTATCCTGAAAGAGAGAATGGTCATTGTGTTGGAAGGCTTCTAAAATGCAGTGTCTTCCAAGGTGAATGTGTCACTTTGG